GACGCTGGTGAAAGAAAAACCCACAAGAGACTGGCAGTCGTCCCAGCACCAGGGAGGCTGGTTCCGGGACCTCTGTGCCCACCCGAGGTACCTGGCTCTGCAGATGTGTGAGTCTCTTACACGACACAGTGCAGGGACCACCCAGAACCGGCCACTTCCTCCCACACGCCATGTCACCTCTAAATGACTCATGACGCCCGACACAAGGAGAACGCCGCATCAGCTGGGGGCTATACTGCTTAGGAACAATGACAAGACAGCGTCTGCACATGCTCACGATCTGTCTTTGAATACTTCAAGTTGGCCGAGTCTGAGGAACACAAGTGAACAGACAGAGGCCAGCGGCACCACGCACGTGTGCCAGACTTAACATCCACAACGATGCCGCCACCGCCTTCCAAACCAGGCTGTATCTGCTCCGCTCTCCTCCGAGAAGGCACGGAGGTGCTGCAGCCAGAGCATCCGGTGAGGGAGTCTCACCTCGGCCCTCACGTGTCCTCATCACCAGTGAGGCTGGGGGCGCCTTCCCCTCCCAGTCCAGTTCATCTGCGAGAGGATGCAACTATCCTCGTTTCTGCACCTTCACATATGTTTTTCAACCAGCCTGAGATTTCCTAAAAATCACATTCAGAATGGTAATCGATAGACTCATTTGGGGAAGACAGACATTTTTACAGAATCAACTCCTATCCTCCAAAACAGAAAAACTGGTGGGCAGAACTCTAACAAGACTGCCATGACTTCCATCTGAACCGTCTCCTCCCGGCAGTGTGGTGGGTCTTGTGGATGTGATGTCACTCGAAGCCTGGGTCATGTTATGGGGCGTAGCTGACTTCAGGAAGGGGTGACAATCCCAGTGGGCCTGACCTTATCAGATGAGACCTTAAAAGGCCCAGGGCTCCTTTTTTTAATTTAAAAATTTTTTTTTAATTTTTTTTTTTAAGACAGGGTCTCACTATGTATATAAGTACCGTGCACTAACCAATTGCACCACTGGAGCTTCCAGGGTCTCACTATGAAGTTCAAACTGGCCTTGAACTCACTGTGATCCTCCTGCCTCAACTTCCCATGTGCTGGGATTACAGATGTGCAACACCATGCCCGGCTAGTCTCCTTCAGGTAGGGAGATTCGAGGTGAAACATGCTATCCGTTGCTGTGAAGATGAGAGACCCACATGGCAAAGAACGCAGGGGGCTACAGGTGGCCCCAGCTGACAGCCAGGAGGGGACACAGGGGCAGCAGACACAACCACAAGCAGCTAAATTCAACCCATGACTCAAATGAGCCTAGAAGCTAACTACTGCCGAGGGTCAAGAGGGACGCAGCCGACACCTTGGTCCAGCCAGAGACCTTGAGCAGAGCAGCTGCTGAGCCCCCCAGAAGTCTAACCCAGAGCTGTGAGTTCCGGACGGGAGTATGTTAAGCTGGTAAGTATGTGGTGACTTGTTACAAAGCAGAGGTAACTGATACATCCTCTGTTCATTCCAGTCTACAATGGCTGATTTTCATGTTTCATAGTTTTGGGGACTTGGGGGCAGTTTTCCTTCAGTGGTGAGCAGTGAACCCAGGGTCTTCTGCATGCTAGGCAAGTGCTCTACCACTATGCCACCCCCCCAGGCCTTGGAGTCTCCTGTTAATGACCTTCAATATCTTTCATTCATATTTATTATTTTTCTCTATTTAAGTAGTATAAAATTATACTTTTGGCAATTTGCAGCTAATATTTAGAAGAACAACTGCTTTTAGTGTGAGCTTACAGTAAGCTGTTTTGCTGAATGCTCACTATTTTTGTACATAGAAGGTTGTATTATTTGTGAAGAAGGGATCACATTTCCTTCGATGCTGTTTCCTCTACTGCCACACCTGCCTGTTTCCGCTTACTGACCGGCAGACACAACTGCCCCCCAGGCAGCCGGGCACCTGCCCTCAGCGCAGGGGCTCAGAACCCAGCCAGCTAAGGGGCATCTCTGCAGGAGGCCAGGGATTCCAAGCTGTTTGCAGGGAAACTGAGTGAGTAGTTCACTGAGAAGGAATACCAGTCAGAGAAGGAGCCTCACAACCATGGAGGAGGGGGAAACCGGAAGCACCGGAGCTGGGGACCCAGAGGCACTGGCAGAGCCAGGGGCACGATCCCTAGCTCTGTCCTCCCAGTGGGCCGGGACCAGCAGGGCTCTGCCAGCCTCAAGCAGGTCCCACAGCCGTGCTGTGGTTCCCAAACACGCATCTTCTTTGAAAGCAACAGGGACCCTCAGAATCGGCCCCTTGTGCGGCACGGGGCATGGGGCGGGGCAGGGCAGGCACAAGCGGGTCCATCAGGCAAAGCAGCTCCTTCCAGCCAGGACCCACTGAACGAGAAAAGCCCTGCTCCACACAATGGGAGCAAGAAAGAAGGAAAGAGAGAGAGAAAGAGAGAGAGAGAGAGAGAAAAGAAGGAAAGAAAAGAAAGAAAGAGGGGACGAGGACTGAGAAGAACAAGGGTCTGAGGTCTCCAACCCCACCCCAGTCCTCACGGGAGAGGCGGACAGGGTCGCTGTGGCCACCTTAGCACTCAAGGACTGAGCACCCACCCTGGGGAACCTGAGGCTACACGAGCCCCGCTCAGAGGCGGGGTCTCCATCTCCCCACCAGGGGAGCTCGTTTAGGGCTCATTTTCCAAAACCACTGGCTCTCTTCACAGTGTCACCGTCACGAAGGCCCAAAGACGGAGCCACTGCCGGGAGTTTTACAGCAGCGCCCACCCTGATGGGAGGCACAGCGCTCTGACCAGGGGGCAGCAACCTGCAGCGGCCTCGGGGTGGGTCCACAGGGCACGGGCGGCAGGCAGCTGCCCCTGCTTGCCGGAAACCTCCCGTGCAGAGGGCAAGCGCACAGAACCCACCCAGTGCACTCCCTGTGACCCAGAAGGTATTCTTCCTCCCCTGACAGCTGTTCTCCAGGCTGTCCGCTTATTACCATCATTATCAAGTATGAACAAAGCCCACGACCGCTGCCTTGGACCCCCGCCATCTCAGCTGGTGAGGGGCCCAGTACCTCCTGAGGAAGTGCAGGCGCCAGGACACAGAGACGGACCCAGCTACCTAGCACCCACCTTTCAGGTCATGGGTGAGAGCGGACACAAGGGCCCAGGCCAGGCTTCCAGGAAGGCTCCACACACCTGAGAAGCCAGACCCTTCCGGTGTCAAGGCTCAAGCGCCATCTGGGTGGGAGGTGGCCTCCAGGTGGGCGGAGACCTTGGTGCCTGGCCAGGATCCCGGCTGACCACACGTTCATCCCTAGCCCATGCGCCACTCAGGCTGCAGCTGTTTCTCTTCTCTTTGGTGTATGCAGCGTCCAGCCACAGGCGCCCGCACTGCCACCGGGGGCCCCTCTATAGCCCCTGTCCCCTCATATGCACCCACCCCCGCGCCCCTACTCCCTGTCCTGTACACCGGGGCCAGCGGCCTCCATCTGTGCCACTGCTGTCCCAGGTCAGGGCTGCCCAGCCACTGGACACCTGACCCCACACCCAAGCCCCTGCCTGGGCGGGACAGTGCCACAGACCGGGGCTTCCTCTCACCTGGTGCAACCAAGCCTGAGCTCAGCCTGGACAAACTCAGCCATGGTGAGACTGGGAGAAGGAATATGCGCTCTGGGGGCTGGCAGGAGCCCCCCAGAATGTCCATGAGATCCAGCTCATGGTCGGAAGGGGCCAACAGGACCAGCCACGGCTCCTCCACTCCTCTCCCACTCCTCCCCCACTTCTCCCCCAACCTCCACACGCACACCCAAGGACAGGGCTTCGGGCCGCAGAGCAGCCTCTGACCAGCGCTGCCTCCCTGTTCCCTGCTTAAGTTGTGGGGATCGCCTGCTGCCTGTAGGAAAAGCCATAAGGGCCTCTGGACACAAACACCATGAATATGGAGCACAGCGGACAATGGGTTCAGAGCAGGGACGGCACAGAGGCACGGATGTCACACCCCGCAAGTGCCGAGGAGACTCACTCCCAGCTCCAGCCTTGCCCCCAGGGCACTTGGGAGAGAGACAACCACACAGGAAGCAGCTTCAAGCTAGCCTGGGAAAAGCAGCCAGCGCTTCTAGGAGTCACAGGATCTCCAGGCGTTAAGAGTCAGCAGAACCCTGTCTCTCCGCTAGGTGGCGCCAAAACCTCAGCAGAAAGGGGCAGCAGGAACAGTGCCAGGAGGCCTCACTTGACCCCAGGCAGGGCTGCAGGCTGGGCCTGGTATAGACGCCAATCTACTACTCCACTAAGTCCTCTCCACCCACCTGCTTCCAGAAAGGTGGCTGAGGAGCGGACGTCTGGGAGTGTCCCCACAGCTCCGTAGGCCCCCAAACCCGAGGGTCAGGCAACACCCAAGACTTCTGACAAGCCCCTGGGTCAGACAGAAGCCACGCTGTGCCTGGGACCTAACACCCTCACTGGCATCTGCACCACCCCAAGCACTAAGCTGCATGGCAGGTTAGTCCTTTTCAGTCATGCCATCCTTGAATCCCATTTCCAGACCCACTACGGCAAACTCGGGAGTGCACTTCCAGCAGTGGGGTGGCACCCGTGCCCGCCATCCCTAAGGAGCCCACAGCAGACAACACTCATCGATCCCAGCAGGCATCATGCATCGATCCCAGTAAGCATCACTCATGGATCTCCACATTCCCTTCTATGGAGACCTCCAGAAGCTACACACTCAGTCACTGGAGCTGGCACACGAAATGTGAAAACCACCAGTCAACCTGGATCAGGGTGAATCCAGTGACAACGTGGCCTGTCACACACCACTTACCTCCTTCACTTCCCCAATTCAGCCCCCTCTACCACACACCACGGATACCCAAAGTAGGACCAGTGCAGGCTTATAAGCCTTTGAGCAAATCACTAAAAGGTGCTCCTCACAATGGGTAGAAACCTAAGTGCCAGGATACACCCTCAAGGCCAGGTGCCCTTGCACAGTGCACAACCTAAACAACTTTACCCAGCAGCTTGCTTCAAAGACCAGAGTCATGCTGAAGAATAACAATCTCATTGTTTACAAGACTTACTGCTGAAAATTAGTGGCATTCTGACCCATACACATACCCCATCACACACACAATCCATAAAGTAATAAAATACAGTCAACATTCCCTTCGTGTAAAACACCCAGCGCACCCAGCCAGTGCCTGGAATCTGAGTTACCCTGTGCAGGTCCTGTGCAGGGCTCCGGTCCCTGAAGGCCACCAGCAGTGAAGGCACCATGGGGGCTACAGGCCCTGAGGGGAAGGCCACTGCTTGCTTTCCCTGTGAAGTCACCGTCTCATCTTGCGGAAGCAGCTTGGAGAACAGAGCAGCACAGCGCAGGGCCACCTGAGAGCACCGTCTCATCCACGCCACAGGAGAGAGAACCCGTGATTGTCCTCGTCCCACCTCCGCCTGACCCTGACGTGGTCTGTCACAGGCACAGCTCCCCTGCCTGGCCATGGTCAGCTGCCTCTTCCACAACGCATCAGTCCCAGGGCGCGAAGGCCATGTGGGTGTCACCTGCACAGCCACAGGTGGGGGTGACGACGCAGCTTCTCCGTCAGCTCCTCGTCCCCAGGCTCCTCCAGGATGTCCCTGTGGAGGAGGAGACACACAAGGCACTTAAGAGGAATCAGCCTAGGCCGCTCAGAAACGAGCGACCAGAGCCACAGGGAGGTTTGCCCGTGCCGGGACCAGAGTCCTTGAAACAGCCAGGGACACATGCAAAAACGAATGTGGCAAGGACACGGGGACACGGACCCAGCTTCAGGACAGATGCAGCCACGATAAATATGTACAAATGTTTAGAGCCCAGAGAGGGGGCACAGGGGCAGTTCAGAGGTAGAGTACTTGCCCAGCAGGCCAAGGCCCTGGGTTCCAGCCCTACTACTGGAAAACAAACACATAAATAAACAAAAGCCCACAGTCTGGAAAGCAGGTCTCACACTGGCTGACAGGACCTCAAAGAGCTGAAATAGCACACAGCCAACACCGTGGAGGGAAGGGAGGCCCACGGCAGGTGGCATCGGGGTGACCAGTCATGTCCTGGACTAGTAGAGGACAATTTCCACATTGCAATGAGAAGAGACAGGGACAGCTTCCTGAGGCCACTTGCTTCTACCTGACAGGACCCCAGGGCTGAGGGAGGGTCCCCTGTCTACGCTGGACCTGAGTCTACAACCCCAGCGGTAGGAGCAGAGGCAGAGCCAGCCACACCCACACCTCAACCTTGACCTCTAACCTGGCTCTGGGCTTCTCCCCTGCTTGCCTGCTGGGGGCTGCTGTCACAGGGCCTGTAGCTGCCACCTGCCCCTCTGGCCCAGGAAGCCACAGAAGTGCCTCCCCGTCACGCACCTGAACATGAGCTCCTCCGACATCCGGTAGGTAGCCTCTGGGGTCCCAGCGGGAGGCTGCTCATGATTTTGGGGGTCCCACCTGTGAAGGAAGTTCTGGCAAGCAGAGAGCAGGAAGGGAAGTTAGTGAGTGTCCCTGGGAAACCTGCCTCACCCCTCCCGGGTCTCCAGCACAGGCTAGGCCAGCATCACTGAGGGAGCCAAGCAGCTCCCCCTGGAGATCTGGATGCAGGGCCGGGTACCACTCCCTCCCCTCGAAGCAAGACAGGAGCCCCCTCCAGCTTCAGCAACACATCTGGGGTACCCAAGGGGCCCCAGCAGCCAGGGAAGCGACACTAAGCCCCAAGCCTGGGGGCTCCCCACCCATACCCTGCCAGCTCCTCACCCCCCCACCCCGGCACCCGGAAGTCATGGCTGGAGCCTCACAGAGGCCCCAGATGGGCCTGGGTGGGGACTGCTGATACCTCCAGGAGCAGAGCCAGAAAGAGGTTGACCCAGATGACGGATGACACCAGCCACCACAGCACAAAGTAGACCTTGGACCACCTGCAGAGGAAGGGAGCCCCCACGCCACTGTGGGCAGAGCAAGGCCCTCCCTGAATCAGCAGCACCCATCAGTGGTGTCGGGGCCGGCGCTCCGCAGATTGCCAGCAACTCCCAGTTACTGTCTCCATCCACAAGGGTCCCAGCCAGGCCGCAAAGTGTTCAAGTGCAGCCAGCGGAAGAGCGAGCTGGATTCCAGCCAGGCCTCTCTGTGGGAGCTGGTCTGAGCTCTCCAGTCTCCCGCCTCAGCCTCCCCCGGGCACTTGACCCTGGGGAATTCCCCAGAAGCTCCAGTGAGACCCAGAAGGGGTAAAGCCAGCGTCCTCGCCGCTGCGGGGGTGTGGCATGGACACGGGTAAAGGCCATGCCGCTGCCTGCCCATGGCCCTCGTCAGGGACCTGCGACCTGTTCCCTGCTCCAGGCAGGCCTGGCCATCAGGTGCTCCCAGGCAGCAGGCAGGGAGCCCCCATCTGCTTGGAAGCTCTGCTGTCAGGGACAGGATGACTCACGGGCCCACGTAGCGTTCATATGCGTCCAGGATCACCTGCCAGTTGTTCACCACCATCACGTTCCACAGAGTGACCAGGGCAGCCTGTGGGGACAGCACACCGTGCGTCTGGGCAGGTCCAAGAGGTAGGGGGAGTGGGACAAGGTCTGGGGACAAACACAGGCCTCACCGCAAAGTCATCAAAGTTGTTGGCCCAGTACTCCAGCTGCTCAAAGCTCCCACAGGACACAGAGCCATTGGCAGGGGCCAGGCTGGGGGACAGAGCACCACGGGGTCAGTGCCAGAGTCCAGGGTCTGCACACCCAGGTGAGCAGCACCCAGCACTGCCCAAGCCCCTGGCCCCTGTGGACCTCTTTATGGCCCCTGAGGCAAAGGGGGCAGAAATGTCCTTCCATGTAGGAGGTCTGCAGGCACTGGGAAGGCACGAACGACAGGTGAATGCGCACCGAACTCTGACGCTGCTCTGCACCCCCAACCCCCAGCTTCCGCAGTCTGGGCCCTAAGGCTTGGGTGGGGGCCGGGAGGCAGGGTACCTAGGAGAGGGCCAGAGATGGGGATGGGGGACCCAAGGGTACCCTTCCTCCCTGAGCGGCTCAGCACCACATAGTGCCCCCCAAGAGACTCCCTTTGGCTCTGTGAGACCCCACCCCACCTGCTATTTCCAAAAGGAGCCACGATGGTGCCTCGGAACAGGCTGATCCCGACGATGGCGAACACGTAGTACACAACCTACGAGGTGGCCGAGCCGTCAGCGCGGCTGCAGCCCCAAGCTGGGCGGCCCTGTCCTGGGCCCGCGGCTGCTCCAGAACACTCGGGCAGGAGGCCATGGATGCCACTAGGGCCTGGGCGGGTGTGACCCCAAAGCTCCCCAGGGAATGGGGTGCTACTGCCAGGTTCCCCTGGTCATAGGCTCCCCTCCTGCCCTCGTACGGCCCCTAGGGGCAGGTGGGTGCTGGGGAGGGGCCGGGGCACAGTGTGGCTTTCGCTCATCAAATGTGACAGTCCCTCAGCTCCTCTAAGAAAGAAGCAGGGACTAAGCCCCCTCCCTGGCACTGGGAGGCACATACACTTCTCAGTGTGGCCCAGGACTCAGAGGCAGGAGGAATGGGAAGTTACCAAAAAGATCCCCAGCATGGGGACAGCGGGGGTGGGTGGGACTCGGGGGGGTGCCAGCCACAGCACTAGGCCCTCTCTGCAGGGGGGACAGCCTGGCTTCTTGCCCCAGAGCCTCCAAGCCTTGCCTGCTGCTCCCCCCACCCCTGGGGACACCCTCCAGAGTGAGCCAGCCTGTGTGGGCTCCCTTGGAGCACCCGAGCCCACCCTCGGGGTCCCCAGCCAGCAACACCCCTGGGACTCACCACCAGGATCCCACCGAAGGCCCGCAAGTTCTGGATCAGGCCCAGGACAGTACTGACCACCATGGCCATGGGCTGCAGGCAGGAAGAAAGCCCAGACCCTCACTCATCCTGCCCCGCTGGGGACACCAGTGCCACCGCCCTGACCTCGACTGGGAAGGCACGAAGGACAGGTGAATGCGCACCAAGCCACACGCCTGGGCTGTCCACACACTTCTGGACACGCACCCCACATACACCCACTCACACCTGTCAGCACACCCCACACCCTCCCACACTCATCTGCAGCCAACACCACTTCCACCACGCAGGCGCGCACCAGTGCACACCCCCACGCCCCTCCCCAAGTCCACCGGCCCCATGGGCAGAGTTCCCAGGCAGAACTCAGAGCCCAGGGCCTCGGGTGCCCCACTGCTCACCCACCCACTGAGGCCAGGTGAGCCCCGCCACAGACTGCAGGCTCCAGACAGCCTAGGCCAGCAGTGTCAGGGGAAACCCAGGAACCTGCCCCACCGGCTCTCTTCCCAAACACCCAGGCCCCAAGAAAGGCTCCGTTCACCCACTCGGTGCTGCATGCAAGTAACAAGGCAATGCTGGCCGGTGAGGCGTAAATGCACACACACGTCCTGTATGAACGTGTGTACGTATATACGTTATTTGTGTATAGTTACACAGACATGTATGTGTGCTTACATGCATGACCGTGTGATTACGTGTGTGTGTGTGATCACATGTGCCTGTGAGACAGTGTGTGGATGTATGACGTATGTGTGCAATCACAAGTCAGTGTGACTGTATACACACGTGTGTCCTATGGCTGTATGCGGGCTGTGCGTGCATTTATATGATCTTATGTGTGTGCAGGATGTGTGTAAAGGCCCCGGCACAGCACCCCTAACTCTGGCCTCCTCTGCATGGGCAGCACCACCGGAATTAAATGGGACCACACTGGGTCAGCCACACTCCGGGGGACCCGGGCCCTCAGAGGCGGCCCCAACATCCTCGGGTTCTATTTTTCCTGAGCTGTAGAAATGGGGACACAAGCAAACCTCTGTCTGCGTGCCAGGGGCTGGGCCTGGACACGCTGACCCGCTTGCCTCCTCTCCACTCCCCTCCCAGTGTGCAGCGCTCCTGCTGGGGACTGGGAACACTGAGGCTCAGGGACATTATCAAAGAGCCTGGTCCTTCATTAGGGGCCTGAGAACGAGCACCTGGCCAGCGGTACCCCGCCCTCGCCAGGGCCTCTGCAGCAGCCTCTAGCACACAAATGCCCTCCTGTGGCAGCCACGGGTCCGTGCCCGCCGCCTGCCCCCCCCCGCCGTCTCCTCACCCAGACACAGGGCTGGACTCACCCCCTAATCACCCACCCAGCACCTCCGGGAGGCGGAAGGCTGAGGGGCACCTGAGAGACCCAAGTGACAGGGACAGTCCTCAGCCCCTCCCTCCCGGCCCGGCCCACCCACGCAGAGCATGGAGGGGGCGGGGCGGGCGGACGCCCACGCACCTTCATGTTGGGGATGACGCGCAGGAACCGGAACACGATGAGCATGTTCACCAGCCGCGTCATGTCCCACAGGGACAGCAGGCCCAGCGTCTCCGGCCTCCTGCGCAGACACACACGAGGGACGGGGGCAGAGGCCCAGAGGCCGGCAGACGCGGGGTCGGGACAGAGGAAACACAGGGCGCCACCGGAGGTCAGTCCACTGACACGCCAGGAAGGTCACACTGGCCACCCCAGGCAGCCCTGGTCACTGCCCCTCACCCAGCAGAGCCTCATGGGGGTGCAGGGCCAGAGGACCCCCTTTTACAAAGGAGGCTGTGTAAGTCCCAGATACAAAGTCGGGGTCCCAGCACACTCAGATCCCCAACCACATGTGTCCCTCCAGGGTGCCGGGTGAGGGAGCCCACTGCCACTGGGGAGGGCACCCGGGGAAGGAGGGAAGGGCTCTGGGAACACCAGCGCTGCAGAGCCGGGAGTGGCCCCAGCTCCCACACCACCCTCTGCCAGGCAGGACTCGCCCACAGCTGGAACACCACTCAGTGTGCCCTAGGATAGCCTGAGGGAGCCGGGGCCCTCCCCGGAGGCCCTGGGGAACACAGTCTGTGTGGCTCCCGGGTTCCTGTCACATACCAGCGTGGGTGTGGGAATCCATACACAGCCAGAGTGGAGATCTCCAAAACCTTTAATGGCAAAAGAAAAGGAGGCGTCGTACAGCAATGCTAATTCAGGAAGCTTCCAGGCAAATGTCAAAGCTCACGTCTGACACATTTTCCTCAGAGTGGGATTTGGGGGGAAAAAAATCAGAGCCCACTCTTTGTCCCCGTGGCTGGCTCCCATGTCGGCACTGCCATTAACTGAAAGTTGCCCTGGCCTCAGGAGTTAGGACTTAGAGCAGCCCCTAAGTGAAGGACGCCCAAGAGGCCCTCTCAAACTGTAAGGGGCCGCTGAGCTCTAATGGCCGGGACATGGACAGTTGTCACTCCAGGTTGCTGCTGTGACAGTCACACACCAAGTATGCCCCTCACTCCCAGCTCTTAAGGAAAAGGGTGCCTGAGACCCCCCAGCCCTCCTTGCACCCACACTAAGGTCACATGGAATGGGTGGCTGTGCTTTCAGGGTTGCCCTGGGTCTTCCCTGGTCTCCTTTAGGTTGCAGGTGGCAGCCGATTGCACAGGACACAGCAAACACCCGGCCCCCAGCCACAGAGCTGGGTGGGAGCAGAATCGGCCCCTTGTCCCGGAAGGCAGGTTCCCCAGTGCCAAAGCACTGGGTCTCAGGAATGCAGAGGGAGCCCCACCAAGGCCAGCTCCCACTTTACCAGCAGGATGGAGGTAAGGAGGCCGTCGCATACATTGCTGGGGTAGGACAGGTAGCCCCACGGGCCCAGAGCGAAGACCTTGAGCAGCAGCTCCAGCACATAGTACAGGATAAAGATGCAGTCCAGGATCTGGGGAAAAAGGGGACGTCACAGAGCTACCCTGCGCCCCTCGTCCCTGGCCCTCTCTATCCCACATGCTCAGGGCAGCCCCCACAGCCCTGCTCCCTCCTCTATCCCCTCTCTTTGGTGTCTATCAGAGCCCAATGTCTTCTTTATGAGGTGTGATCAAAAATATGGTGAATGCTGCTGCAGGGTGTTACCCACTAGAAAGGTAGGCTCCTAAAAACATTAGTGTGTCCTCATCCACCTTGTTCACCAGATCTGACACCATGCAGCTTCTGGCTCTTCCCCAAGCCAAAAAGACCATGAAAGGTAAATCTCTTGAATTGATTCAGGATACAGAGGCAGCCACACAGCACAACTAAAGATACTCATGGAAAAAGACTTCCAGAACTGCTTCAGAAGGTGGCAAGAATGAGGGAAGAGCATTCAAAGTGAGGGGGAATATCTTGAAAAGGAGTAATGGCAAGGTGTCTTTTACTGTAATAAATGTTTTCATTCAAATGTTCACCATACTTTTTAATTACACCTCTTATTTCATACATGTGACATGTCATTTCTAAATGTGACAGATCCAACCATTTCTTAACTAAGGAAAATCTCCTAGCTGTAGTCAACTTAATATCTTTCATAATGTAATTTAGCAAGCTTTAAAAAATGTCTTTGTCAAAGCACTGGCAGAAAATAACGCGGGGGTGGTGGTGTGGTTTAGCCTAATATCCACACGGAAAAACTTTGAATTACGCAGGAATTTGGCAAGATCTTTTCATACTAGATAAGAACTTCCCAGTTCTTTTTTAAAGGCTCGGGAACAACCAAGAAGACAAAGCTCAAATCCTGCAGCCAGAAAGCCAGGAGGACCCTGAGGTCAGAGCTGCTGTCCCCTCAGGCCTCTTCTCCCTTCAGGCCCCTCCACTGCCACCCACTAGGCCTGGGCCTGTGCCCACCGCTGATCCCACCAGCCTGTCTCAGCCTCTTCTGAGCCAGGCTGCTCCACGAGGGAGGTCGGCCGCCCTCCACACCCTCTGCGATTCCGGAACTCACCCCCAGGACAAAGTCGTCACGGTTCCCGGGCAGCACATCAGCATCCAGCACCAGGAACACCTAAGAGGTGGCAACAGAGGGCGGCTGGCTGAGCCAACAGAGCACAGCACAGAGCCACACAGCCAGGCCACACGTGCTGCAGGACACACTGTCACTAGGTCGGGCAACAGGAGGAAGGGGGCGGAAAGACAGGCCTCCCGCGTCTACACGGGGCAAGGCTGCACTCACGCAAATGGACACAAGGTTGCTCAGGGCGATGACGTTCCCCAGGTAGTCGAAGTAGTGGTGGCTGAAGAGGAACTGGGCGGTCTGGAGAAACGGAGACTGGTACTGGGGCCTCGGCGGGTGCTGGAAAGAACCCACTCGCTCAGAACCATATTAGAGCTGATAGCTCTGCCCTCATTCCGGGCTTCGACATTCTGCTGTCTCACCACCTACCCTAGTCTCCAGCCTAAGGAAATAATCCTGAATGCAGAAACAGTTGTATAAACACGAGGTTCATACAGTGGTCTTCACAATCTGAGGAGCAGTCATAATGACCTAAGAAGTTTACATCCAGTGATTCTGGACGTACAGCAAGTTTGGATATATGTGCCGTGTCTGCCACCCTCAATAACGTCGTGCTAGAGTATGCCAGGCTGGTACGCAACAGCTACAAAAACGCGGCACAAGCACACCAGCTCACACTGCGTATCGGCTGGCGTGGAAAGGAGTAGCAGAGACTGGCAGAAGCGGGACCCATAGGACACATCTGACTCCACCTCCCTGCCCTGTCCCCGTTCAGGACCTCGCTGGCTCCTCTCAAGGCTGAGTGGCTGAACAGTTCCTCTGCTGCCACCTCACCCTGCATGGAATACCTGGGCTGCTTCCGGCACCCCACCCACCCAGAAACCCTCAGGAAAATGAGGGTTTCCGGCACCCCACCTACCCAGAAACCCAGGAAAATGTAGGTAGCTGGGGGCTCTGAACGGTGCTGAGCTGGGGACGGCACATCACTGCCAAGGAACAGAGGCATAGGACCCCCCAGAGGGACACACAGAAGAGGAGAGTTTGTCACGGAGATGGGGATGCCAGGAGATGGAGATGCCAGGTCCCAGGGAGGGTGAATTTGTTCAGGTCAGCAAAGCCTCCCCAGTTCCCAGGACCCACTACCCTGCAGTGCCCATCAGAGACCCGGGTGATGACAGGGACTATGGAGACTTGCTGCAAGCCCTGGTGGCCCTGGGCTGGGCAGGCGGCATGTGCCAATGCCCCCTACCTCTTTGATCACACTTTTATCGAGCTCATTAAAGAGCTTCTGGAATTCATCGACCGACAGCAGGACATCATTGTAGGATCGCACCTTCTGTGGAGGGAAGCCCCGGTCAGCAGACGGTGCGAGTCCAACAGCCGGGCCACTGACCTCACCAGCTGTGAGCGCCGGGCTCGTCAACCCACACCTGTCCTCACCCCCAGGGGCCCCAGAGGCCAGGCAGACATGGGAAAGCAGCTACCTCCACGATGGCCTGTTTGTGGGAACTGCTCATCTGCACTTTCTGAAGCACCAGCAGCAAGTTCTGAGGCTTCACCCCAACTCTGTGGGAAAGAAAACCCCTTTTCAGTGAACACAGCCAGCCAGGCTACCTGGCACCATGCCAGGCAACACAGCCCCAGCCCCCAGCCTGCGCTTGGCTCAAATCCACCCTGCCGCCTGGCAAGGACTTCAACTAGCAAGCATCTACTCCAGTGGGCATGGCAGGTGTTTTACACTCACCAACTAAGGTCCCCAAGAAGCCACCCTGTGCCACTTTAAGGAGGAACAGGCAGGCTCCACCACTACACAGCAGTTGGGATCAGAATCCTCACAAGGACACACCGTTGAGCTCCGTCACCACCTACTCCAGGGCAGGGTACACACCTGACCCTAGGGGAGTGGACTCAGGTAAGAGTGACAGGGCACTGGGACCAGGCGGGTTTCAGGATTCAGGAGGAGCAGCAGGTCTGGCAGCAGCCAGCAGGGCTGTTTGGGAATCTGTCCCGGGGTGGCAGCGGCCGCCTGTCCCTGAGGAAAGGGCCCCAGCCAGCACTCACGCCTCAGGAGTGGCTCCCGCCTGCCCTGGCATGGAGGAGAGGACTTCATAGGCAGCGCGGGTCCCCAGCCGCCGCCGAAACAGTGAGGTCTGTAGAGATTTCTGCAAGGAAGATGTTCTGAGTGCAGGCTTCACCTGCGCCTGCCACACATCCAACCCGACCTGCCCCCCCAGGGAGAGGAGCAGCTAAATGGGGATTCCAGGAAGCCTCAGAGGGCACCCAGCTGAGCCGCAGCCTCACCAACCGGCACAGAGTACAGCTGCAAAAGCCCCTTAGGAATCCTCAAAGGGGGGACGGCCCACAAAAGCCTGGTCTAACTAGAGCAGACAGCAGCTCCTGTGCAATCCACGAAGGCCTACACCTCTTCTCGGCATATGTGGGTTCCTTACTTCCCACAAGAGGATCCGGGTCAGTACCCCACAGAGAGCTGCAATTCTGGGTGGCTTCCCTCCAAGGGTGAGGCGGGGAAGGGGAGGGACCCAAGTGGCCATGGCATTGGCACCTACACCCCTGAAATAATTCAGTGTATCTCAAGAGGCAGAGGCCCCACTCCCCACCCCTACCATGGCCGGGCCAGCAAGGCTGAGGGCCACCCTCTGTCACTCAGGCCACACCCAGGCACAGTGGGGCAGGTGGCTCACCATCAGGTAGCCGCGGAACTGGTTGTAGATGATGGCAGTGAGCAGGTTCATGAGAAACAGGCTTCCTGCAGGAGGAGAGTGCAGCGATCAGAGGCAGGCATGGCAAAGGCAAAGCACCAGCTTCTCTTGCTGTCCTAGAGCACCAGGATAGAGCAGGCCCAGGAAAGACACCAGGAGACCTGGGTGGTCAACCGTGGTCAGAGTGCCTGTCATTCCCTCCACCTGGCCAGGGATACACCACCACCCCCAGGCCTCCCCACATCCTCATCACACAATGGGACACCGTGGGGCCTCCTAGGCATGGGAGAGGACAGACTGTGTCATTGGTGGTCACAGACCACAGATCACAAGCCCCAGGGCACAGGGGCACGCCGAAATAAAGTTACAGGACTCAGGGCACTGGACCTTGTCACACCAGGATAACGCCTGGCCCGACATCCCACATAGACTCAGCTGTACTCACCTATCAGGGTGAAGACTATGAAGAAGATGGCGTAGGCCCGGTTCTTAGAATACGCAGGAACCATCACTGAGGCAAAGGAGAAACCCCTGAAACCGCGACCCCAGCCTCAGTGCCTGGTCGCCTTCCTGCAGGACTTCTGCCATCTGCTTCCTCAACTCAGGAGGGCCCTGGGCTGGGAGGGCCAAGGCCTCCCAGTCCAGAATGCAACCTCACACCTGCTGGTTCTCCCTGAGGTCGGGGGGGCTGGCTGTCCACTGAGGACGCTCCCAGGCTGTGCCCAGAGAAGGTTGTTGTGGTCCTGAGCATCCCTGAGCCCAAAACGAAAGGTACCAGCCACAGCGACCAGGCCATGGTCAAGCCCAGGAGGACTGCAGCCTCCCCGACTGGCCGCCCCTGGCCACAGCCCACACGGGAGCAGCTAAAGGACCTGTAGCCCCTATTGCAACCAGTCAAGCCCCGGGGTCTCTCACACTGGATGCTCCAGAGCAGCACGCACCTCTTAGCTTGGCCTGGGCAGCGACGGGAGAAAGTGGCTGGGCCCCAAAGAGGCCACCACAGGGGCCACTGACCTCTGCCACTTGTCACCACATAAAGAACACTGCTCACTCTCAGCTTCTCCGAGTAAGGAGACAAGAAGCAAGGAACCGAGAGAGAAAGAAGGCAGCAAAGGAGAGGGAAAGAAAGGAAAAGGGGGAAAGAAAGAAAATGAAAAACAAGGGAAAGAACAGAAGGCAAAGAAAGGGAGGAAACGGGGAACCCAAAGTCACCTTCCCTGGTGATAAAAAGGAAAGGCCTTTACTCCCACCCAACTCCAAAGCTCAGAGCGCCCACTCAACCCCCGCAGGCCAGTTCGCTGCCCCCAGGTCCCACCCTTGCTCCCCACGCACCGTCAGGGTTGTTAGCAGTGGTCAGCAGCACCAGGAGGGAGGTCAGAGCCTCTGGCAGGTTCCGGAAGTAGGCCAGTCTCTCCCTGTTTGGCTCTGCATCCTGCTGAGAACAGGTGAGGTGCCAGGTCCTCAGCCCACAGCTGAGGCCTAGGGACAGTGACACCCCAAGCCCCAGGGACCAGCCACTGCAGCCTGCATCTCCCCATCATTTCCCAGCAGGCTCCGAGCTCATGGCCAGACAGGACAGCACTCAGGGCCTGCAGGCCCAGGAGCGGGCATCTGAGGAAACAGAGTATCCACAGCTGCCAGCCACGGCAATAGGCCTGCCCGCCCACACGTGGGCCTGGCCAGCCTACTGGCTGCCTACCTCTGTGCACTGTATGCACAGTGAGGCCATAGGCTCCAAGGAGCAAGAGGGGCAAAGGGGCAGAGGGGCCCAGACTGGCGTGTGGCCTCAAGCAGCCAGGTGGAAAGGGACTGGGGATGTGAACGTCCAGAGAGGCCCCACTGCTCCCATGCTGAGCATGAGGCCCAGCACCTTCTGAGGCACTCCCAAGGATCCCAGGCCTTGTCATCACAGCCCGCGGGAGGCACCCACACCCAGGCTGCCCACCCTCCATCCTTCTGAGAGGTCCCAGCCTCACACAGGTTATCTGCCCAGGAAGTAACTGCTCAAGACTGGACTCCGGGTTCTCCTGGGGTCACCCTGCACCTACCAAGCCTAACTCTCAGCCGAAAGACGGGTGATCGCTACCCGCCTGGCTGTGGGATCAGTGTGGTGGGCAGGTGGCAGGATGCAGACCCCACACACACAAAAGCACCTATCACCTGCTATCACTCCAAAGCCAAGTAAGGGCTCCTCCCTGCACAGCTGTTCTTCCTACACAGGTCCCAGGGGCTCACTCTCACACCAGGACCTCCTCACCTTCATCTACAAAATGGCACTGCCACCACCTGCCTTGTGTAGGACCTCAAGGGCAGAGGAGCTGATTGGTTGTGACAGACGCCACAAAACACTGCAGCGGGGGACGCAGGGGTCGTGAGAGTAAGTTACAAGGTCAGTACAGAGCCATAGAGGGCCAGGCCGCTACAGAGGGCACGAAGCCCCAGCTGGAGCCAGGACGGAGGAGAGCAAATGCCCCCGAGAGACAGCTCAGCCAAAGGGTCTGAAGGTCACTCCAGCCCCCACGGATGCATCCAGGGACGGCAGGATCAGGGTTAGGCCCAGCCCTCCTGGGCCTGAAACAACCACTGTGTGCTGAGTGGAAACGGACGTCCTGCTGACTGAAGGATATGCTAGCCTCTGTGCCAGCTTATAGATAAAGACCGAGGCCAGGGAGACAGGGCCTCCCCAGCCAGGTGGCACCGAGTCTGGCCTATCTCCCAGCAAGCCTCTGGCTGAGCCTCTGCAAATCAACTTGGGAGCAGCTGGCAAGGGGCTCGATGGCTGAGGAAAGGGACAGGTCAGCCACCATCATGCCCTCCTCCCAACTGCAGCCAAAGGCTGGGAGCCACTCTCGCTGAGACCACAGTGGGCAACATCTTCCCACACCGTTACACAACACTCACTCACTCCACCTAGTTCCTCTTCATGGAGTACACGCCCAGCCCTGAGGAGGTGCCAACCTACTGGCACCCAGGGACACTCAGTACTCGGGGGTGGGGCCACCTCCAGTCCCCCACGCTGACCGTCAGCCTGACCCAGCCCTGGGAAGCAGCAGAGAATGCAGCCATCACAGAACAGTCACAGGGGGCCCTGAGTGTCACTAGGGCCCACCTCTGCAGCCCAGCAACTGCCACAGACACACACACAAACACATCCAGCTACCTACATAGACACACACTCAGACACAGGTACAAAGACAGACACAGGTGCACACAGGGCCCCGCAGGGGACTGGCCAGGGTGTGAGGACAGACACAAAGGAGCAAAGGCCAGACACAGCCCAAGGCAGGGAGGCACCTCCACACAGCAACAAGTCAGTGGGGGCCAAAGCCCTGGCTGGGCAGGAGGCCCAGGGTCAGGGCTGGAGACGAGGATGTGGGTGGGGGGCACCACCACAGGGTACTGCAGGTCTGAGAGGCCCAGGTGAGAAAAGGCATGGAGAAAGGAGGTATGGATGCCACAGCAGGCAGCACCATGGCAGTGCACGAATGGGCTGCGGAGGAGCCTGCAGAGCTCCGTTATCGGCCCAGGAGGGAGAGACACAGGCAGGGAGGAGGGCAGTGGCCCCAGGCACTGGACGTGGGGCAGACAGCCCCTGGAAGGGGACAGTGGGAGCGCCATGGCCATGTAGATAGACCCTGGCCTCCAGGGGGCACCAATGACTTCCTGGTTACGTGTTTTGGGCAGGTGGCCTAGCCTGGTGCTTGCTCTCTGCCAACCTAGTGACATCCTGCCCAGAGGGCAGGGCATCTCACGATCTCGCCTCACCTTCTCGCCGACCGTGAACAGCAGCATCCCGAGCATTGTGAAGAGGCACAGGTGAATCGCCAGCAGCAGCCCGACACTGGGGGAGGACAGGCACTCAGCCTGGCAAAGTGCAGGCCCCACACCCAGGGAAGGTGAGCCAGGGACAACTGACACGTCCATCGGGCTGATGGGCAAAGCCACGCAGGGCCAAGGGCCCTGGAGGACGGGCCTGCTCCCACCTGCCAGAGTCCTCTTTTTTGCTGAGACAAAGGCAACCTCAGAGGAGGGACACTGGAAGGGAGAGGCCACTTCCATCCTTCTGGGCTGAGGGAAGACAGTCGGGCAGGTGGGCCACCAGGGCACAGACGCGAGGCACAGGTGGGAGCCCGAGGGGAGGTAAGGTGAGAATGGGCCCAAGACCCCAGATTCCTGGTAGAGAAGGAACCTTGAAGGCTTCCAGGCAGGGGTGATGTCCAGAGTAGCTCAGCTCTATGAGGTCTAAGAGGCAGCAGGCAAGGACACAGCAAGCCAGGCAAGGACCCAGCCACGGGGGAACACAGGGACAGGCAAGGACCCATCAGAGGGCCCAGCAGGACTCAGCAATGGGGGGAAGGAGGGGCAGGTCTGCAGCAGGGCCTCTTAAGGGGCCCCAAGACTCCTGCACGCTGGCCTCTCCAGGGTGCTCGTTGGGAGCACTCGTGGGCCTCACAGGGTGCACCTGGGCAAAAGCATCCAGGCCGTCCACGGCCCGGGCCCCTTGGGCTGACACTCGCTGAGATCCCATTGGATCTAAAGACCTACCTGGCCATGTCCGGCAGTGACCACCGGATGCACTTCAAGGTCTTCTTCATCATGGAGGAGTTCTGCAGCAGGAAGAAGGGGCGCAGGAGGCGGCGCATGCGCAAAGGCTGCAACAGATGCAGAGCGGCCAGGCTCAAAACTGTGCCTGCACACAGCATCACCCCCCATACCTGCCACCACAGGGGCAAATGAGCCTGGGACCCCCGGGACCGGGGCAGGCCCTGCCGGCCACAGGTTGCCCTAGCGATTCCAGGTGGAAGGTCACACACGGCCTTTCTTCCCTCTCACACCGCCCTGGCTCCTCTCCATCCCACCATCATGGAAGTACACTTTGAGTCTGGCAATCCTGGTGTGCAGGGCCTCTCCCTCACTCTAGAATCTAGGTCCCCGGGACAAAGGTTCCACCTATCTGGTTCCTGCCAGCAGCTCAACCTGCAGACCCTCAGGCAGACCCTCCCTGGGCTGTACTCGCCATCCTCAGCAGAGCCCAATACCTGGCCTGGGACTGAGACAGGCAAAGGGAGCAGTGCTGACCAGACAACTAACTGCGCAGGGCTCTGGCCCCATAGGAGGAGCTCTATCCCGGTTTCCTCAGAGTCCTCACACATTGCCCACAGGGGGACATGTAGACACAAGCCTGTGCAGGCTGGGTCACTGGCCCCTCTAGACTGAAGAAGGGGGTGGACAGGGACATGGCAAGGGCAAAACTCTAAGACTGGGGACAAGAGGCCCAGAAGGACACAAGTAGACAGGTCCCTCCAAAAAGGCACAGGGCAATGAGAGCTCCTGCCCCCTGGAATGCTCACCAGGGCCATCACTCGGCAAGACGGTGTGTTCTATGGGCAGCTGAGCTTCCTCCCTCAGCCACGTATAATGTCATCAGTACAGGACAGAAGCCAGTGATACACTTACTCTGCCTGACGCAGGGTCCAGCACCAGACCTCACACAGCCCTTTGCTAACAATCTGGAACACTGACTCCACGTGTGTCCGAGGACCTGGGGAATGACTCCATGGAGGGCACCCACCACCTAGTGTAGCACCCACTGCTGAGGTCATGCAGGATGTCATGGCTTGTGTCTACATGTCCCCCCAAAGCCTCATGTAGTCTATAGGTGGGGCTTTTTCACAGGTGGCTGAATCTAGAGTGTGTGATGCTGGGATTGACTCATGGTGCAATGCTAGCCTCAAGGGCACTAAGAGTAAGGGCGTGAGTGCTACCTGCTCTAGGTAGTCTAGATAAAATAATAGGTATAGAAAGCCACTGTTAAGATCCCTTGTTGCTTTGCTACCTTCTACCTGCCATGAACTGATCTCCTCTGTGATGCCCTTTCTGCCAAGCTACCCTGCCTTGGCCCCAGCCACTTATGGACTGAAACCTGTACAAACTGTGAGCTAAATGAACCTTTCCTCCCTTTAACTTTGGGTGTTGAGAATTTTGTCTCAGCAATAAGAAAAGAAACTAAGATACAGGAGAACCAGCCTGCCAGAAAGGTCCAGAGCCTCAGAAGATACAGGACACTAGGTCAGGGCTTCCAGGGCACAGCACAGGCTCTGAGGGACCAGTTCTTCCTCAGTGGGATTCAGGGACCCAGGAAATGGGAGTGACCACATTTTCACTCCCCATCCCACCATTCCTGGCACTGCTGGTCTGGAAGTACCCATACCCAAGGGAGAGAGCTGCATCCACCCAGGACACACACCAGTCCCACTTCTCCGAGGGAAGGATGTGCTTGCAGGGTGGATGATCCCTTGAGTGAGGGTAGACTAGGGCACTGCTACACAGTCTATACTGGGGTTTCTGGGGCACCTATAAGTATCCCAGTGTCCTGAGAGTTTGAGGCTAGCCTTGACTACAAAGTAAGCTCAAGGCCAGCCTGAACTGCACAGTGAGACCCTGTCTCAAAAAGACAAAGGGGGAGGGGGCAGGGCCACCAAAGACTTGGCCCTTGGGAAGGAAGGGCAGCAGAAAGAACTCCTTAGTGTCACTTAGGCAGTGAAAACCAGGGCCACTTCTGCAGCTGCACAAGGTTCCCTTCTGGCCTGTCAGGCGTACGTGTGCCCATGAACACTAATGAATCTCTGTTCCTCCTCCTTTCACATGCACTCTCTAGTGGAGGTCAGGGGTGCAAGTTAACCTGTGACTTATGGGATACTTGCTGGCCAATGTGACACATCTGCGACCGTCACTAGGAAATGGTGGCTATTGAACCACTATCTCTCTGGGTTCTGGGAGGACCTAGGGTCCTCTTCCTTAGTAGGATGGGCTGCACTTTATCAGGGAGAGCAGGATGCTGGGGTAGGGACCCACCACTCACATCTTTCCCTCAGCAGCTGTTCCCTGGGATTCCTGCCAGTGAGGCCTCATTCCATCTGCACCAGCAGGCAGCACCCTACCCAGAGGTCAAAGGGCAGGGCCCCAGCTCTGTAGACCTCCCCTGTACTTCCGGATGCCTGCAACCCCACTTCTTCTGTCCCTTCTCTCTGGGTTGCACTGGCTTCCCGTTGCGGTTTTGGGTTCCCCAGTACCTGTGTGAGTCTCTCTATTCAAGTCTACCAACTCACAGCTGGGCTTCTGTCTCCCCGGCAGATCCTAATAGATACTACTGACCCCAAGCCACTCTGTCTGTCCCTGCTCAGTCCTTCCAGACTATGGGGAGGTCAGAAGGTGATGAGGGGAGGTCTTCTCACTACCAGGCCTCAATGCTCTGTGCATGCGATGTGAGCATAGTAAGATCCTGGGTGGCACTGTAGTGGAGCCTGGTAGAGTTCAGATGCCAAATGAACTGAGGCCAGGAGCTTCGGCAGTCCTAGGACTTGCTGCCCACCCCCCCTCTCACCAACAGGACGCCCCAGGGAAACCTTGTGCCTTCTCTAAGCCATCAGTGTGAGGTGGAACCAGGTCTTTTGGACGAGAGGAGCCCAAAGTGCTAAAGGACACAGGCAGCACCGGGCAGCTGGCAGTCATGACCACAGGGCTCAGGACCCCTGCTGCCCACTGGCCTCGGTAGCTGCACCCACACCCCACATCCCACAGAATCACCTCACCACCTACCTCCTGACAAAGGAGACTCAGGGACACAGCCCAGTCCACCAGGGACACAGCCAGCACCGTGAGGTAGGCCAGCAGCCAGAGGTTCTTCTGGAACTGGGACCACCCGACCAGATAGCCCTGAGACATGGGGACAAAGGGAAGAGTGCACTCAGGGCCAGGCCTGAGCCAGGCAGAGGGCCTCAGTGTACACAAGAAGACCTGGCAGCGGAAGGTCTGCCCAACAGTGGGGTCTCTGTGTGACATGCAGGGAGCAGGATGCTGAGCAGCAGTCAGAAGGCCATGGGTGATTCACTGAAACCTCAGGCAGGTGCTCAGCCCCTCTGGCCTGTTTCCTTACCAGTATCAGGGCTTCTACCACCCGCTCTGCCTACGCCAGCCACCAGTATGTGCAGTGTCAGAGGGAGGCACAAGGCGTTCCAGAACGGACGAGGACAGGAGACTGTATACATGAAAGGGGAATGCACTCCAGCCGCTCCTGGAAGGCAGTGGCAGAGGCAGGTTCTGTCCACTCCTCCTTTTCCTACCCACTTCCTACCATCAGGAGAGCCCCAAGAGGTCACAACCTGCACGTAAAGGCCTGTGCTCTCCCACAGTGAGATCCCCAACACACTGATCATTCAGCAAACACAAACGACAACTTCTCACCAGTTTTGGTTCCAGCTTCAAAACCCACAGACCTGCTAGAGGTCACAGCCTACACGTAAAAGCATGTGCTCTCCTACAGTGAGACGCCCAAACACAATGATCATTCTGCAAACACTCGTGACAACTTCTCACCAGTTTCGTTTCCAGTTTCAAAACCCAGACCTGCTAGCTCAGTATGAGCTAAAGCAGGAAGAACTGAGGAACTGCCTAGGCCTACAATCTCTCTCTCATGTGCATGTGCACGCACACATATACACACACACATACATGTGCCAGGGCCCAGCACACCCCTCCAGCAGCACACAAGCACCCTGCCCACACCATAGACTGCAGGGATCCAGAAGCCACCTGAGTCCACAGCCCAGGTGCAGGGCCGCTGTTGCAGGTACCACCTAACAGTGTGAACATGGATGCCCCTGGGGGCTATGGTGTTAGAATCACTAACAAAATCAGCAATACCCAGCCTCTCTGCACCCCACTGTGAAGTCACCAAGGCCCCACCCTAAAATGGCCCATAAGCTGTGAGCTGAGAAGCCCCACACCCAGCTCCGGCAGTACCCAGCAACAGACAGAAGCCAGAGTCAGATGCCCTCTAGCTGTTGTCTGGGCAAGAGACCCCTTTCTGTCTTACACCTGATTCTTCTACTCTTTGCAGGTGGAAGGATGGGCCATGAGGAGAGCCTACAGGTCCTCTCATGCAGTTGGGGGGGTCTCCCCTCACAAAAGCCAGTCCCTTGGCAGCTCCCACAGGCCCTCCAGGCTGCCAGTGGCACAGCCAGCCCCAGCTTCCACCCTGGAGAGGAAGAAGAGTCAGTAGCCTTGCTCCCAGGCCCAGATGCACCCAAGAACCCAATCTCTGCCCAGAGGGCCAAGGGGCAGAAACAAGAGGAGAGATAGCCAGCCTGGGGCACCAGAAATAAACTAGGAGAGAAGCAGCTAGAGTCACAGGCGGAGGGCATGGACACCCAGCTCAGGCACCGCCCACCACCTGCCTCACCTTCACAGAGACGTCAGCCACGAAGACCAGCAGGCAGAGCAGCTCCACGGCCTCCGTCAGGCCGCAGGGTGGCTCCCAGGGCAGAGAGCGATAGCGCACATCCGCAGACCTCGTGAGTGAAGATGGGGTCTCGATAAAAGCCAAAAACAGGATCAAGAAGATAGTAAAGCTCAGAGTCCTAGAAAGAAAACAAACCTGGTCAAAGGGCAAGAAGTCCCTCTGGGATTAGAACACCAACCGGCAGGTGAACGTCTACAAGCACAGGGCACTTCCTGGGCTGTGGGCCTGCCCAGGTAACACTGATCTACCCAGACTCACTGGCCAGGCACTGATCCAATGTTCTGAGAAGCCCCTGAGGGCAAGGAGCCCTTGACCACAGGCTGGGCAGGAGGACGGGGAGCCCACCTGGACAGCCTCCCCACCACCAAGCAGGCCAGTGGCAAGCCCAAGTTCCACGAGGTGCATTCTCACCGCTGGCACAGGTTCGAGTAATACCATCGGTAAAGCCACATCGAGCGGGCATCCATGCGGTGGTAGATGGAGCGGTACTGGAAGCAAAGGGTCACACAGAGGGGCGTGAACAGGGTCTCCCTGGTGCTGCACATGCCTACACCCTGACCTGTTCCCATACGGAGATGGGTCCCAGCGGGGAGGCGGGCTGTAGATGGCAGGGTCAGCGACGGTATGTGGACAAGGCACCCCCTACCCCACAACCCTGCAGGCTCAGCCTGTCACACAGTGCGAGGTTTACCCAACAGACCAAGCGCTCCCCAAAGGCCACATGTGGGGCCCAGCAGGGGCACTGCAGGGACGCTTAGCAGCGTTTGTAGAAGACACAGCTGTGCTTCTGTGAGGCTCTCTCTTCTCCATGCAAGGGTGGCCCCTCATCCCCAGCACAACTGTGTCATTCCTAGGACCTAGGACAGGGTGGCCCAGCACATGCTGCAGTGCAGGGTAAATCAACAGTGCAATGATTCTAGTACTCAGAAGACTGCCTCAGGGGCTGGGGATATAGTTCAGCGGCACAGCACCTGCCTAGCAAGCACAAGGTCCAGAGTTCAATTCCCAGTACCCGCTCCAAAAAAAAAGACTGCCTCCTTCATCAAGTCTGGCTCCCACACCATGGTTTTCCTAACCTACAGGCCAGCAGCTAAGCCCTCAGCCCAGGACAGTAAAAGATGAAGGATGGGGACGTTCGGCCAGCAGAGCGACCACCGCCCCACCCCACACACCTGAACAGCATCTTCAATGAAGACCACAGCCTGGTCAATGCAGAGGTCCTGCCTGGCCAAGGCACCTGCGGACAGAGGAGACAGGTCAGAAAGAGGAAAAGAAGCCAGCTGTGGTCCTTCCCCTGCTCTGTAACAAGACACCCCCCACCCTGTATCTGGGGCATAACCCCTGCCCCAGGGGTCCCACCCAGGCAAGGAGCACAGAAGGGCCTGCTCAGGGCACAGCCCAGAGGAGAGGCAGCTCTGACACCCACAACTGCCACTGCCCCAGGGACAGGACGCAGAGGACACATGACACTCAGCGAAGCCCATGGCAGTAGAGTGTTCTGTACTGCTGATACCAGACTTGGGGCTCTCAGCCAAGAGTGAGTGTTCATGGCCACCTTGCTTGGCCTCCAAGAGGATCTGTGAGGGGCAGTGTGGGGATGCTGTGTGCCACGCAAGTCACCCCTCTGCTCCCCAGTCCCACCACTGGCCTCCTGCACGGCCCCAGCATCTTCATCAAATACTGAGAATGATCACGGTCCCATTCCTTCCTCGTCCTGGCCCACAGGATCTGTGCCAAGTGTCCCTGAGGACAGAGCCCAAGGAACACCTGAGCGCCCCCTTCCTCTGCCAAATCCTCCTTGGCAAAGGGCCACCACTGCCTTCACTCATGACGCGGTTTTCACAGCACAAGAGATGGAGCCTCCATGCACACCCCTGAGATTCCCCTTTGCCTGGCTTTCTGGCTGCTGATTTATAAAACTCTGGGCCAGGCCCCCTGAGCTCACACCACCCCTCAGGTTGCCAAACCTCAGAAAGACCATCCCACCCTGCAACGACCTGACAGATCTTGTCACAAACCCTTAGCTGCATGGCCTAGCTTTACATGGGGTCCCATTACCCCAGGCTCACACTGCTCCAGCCTGACACTGCAGGCCCCATCACAGGCACCCACCAGCCCTCCTGCTGTTTCCCTACCCTGGCCCCCATATCACTCATTCTGAATTGGGCCCTGCACACTCTCGAAATCCTCCAAATCTTTGCCCAGGGACAGAAGCACTGCCCCTCTGCTCCCACCTATGGGTTTAAGCACTTCCTGTGGACAACGCACTCTGCCCTTAGATCCTCACCCTGGACTGAAATTGCCGGTCCACTCCCCATCAACCCACCAAACTGAGGGCTGTGCCAGACTCACCAGGTCAGAATAAAGCTACAAGGGGGGAGGGGGGAGCATACTTTAGCTCTGGACCCATCTCCTTGCCCTCAGCCTCTGCTCCCCAACATCCAGGTTCCCCGTCTTACTCTAGGCTCCTCCCGGCACAATCTGTGTAGGGCCCTGACCTGTCCTGTGTGATCATAGGGGAACCCCTACTTTCTCCGTGTCTCAGTTCTGCACAGCCCCTTCCAAATGGGACTTACACACGGAACGGGTTACTGAGCCACAGTGCTCTGCAAAGAAGCTCTTTATCAATACTCTGAATGCTTCTACAGCCCAGCAATCCTTGTCCTCCGACATTTTCACAGACAGAAGAGTGATTGTTGGAACCAGAAAGAAAAAAAAACTCTCAACCTTGGGCCAGAGTCTGGAAGGTGGGGAAGGGTCATGGGGGGTCACCTGGGACCCTCAGATACCTGAAGCAGTAGTGCCCTTCCTTCTTAGCAGGAGTCCAACCACAGGACAGGCAAAGCCGAAGCACAGGGTCCATCTCAGAGCCACAGGGGCAGGCAAAGAAGGTGAAAAGCCATCCTCATCCTCCAAGCCTGGCCAAGGGGATGTGAACACAGGGCATCCTGTCCACACTCTCAGCCCTCGCCAAGTCCATGATGCCAAGACAAAGAATCCTCCTAGACAGCCCCTCTCACCACCCACACTGCCCAGCCTTGGCTCCTATCTCCACAGAGCAGGTGGCACCTCCACAAAGCTAGGTGGCCCATTCTGCCCAGACCTGAAAGCACCATGACATTCTTACCCTGGCCCAATTATCTCTGAATGCTCACAACGTGCCTCTGTCAAATCCTGTTACTGCTTCCCTTTCACAGAGACTCAGATAGGTTTAGCCACCTGCCAAGGTCACACAGCCTGGAGTACCAGCCCCAGAAGGCACCCAGGCCTTCAGATACAAAGCCTGTGCCCTCTGAACCATATCCCTATCCTAGTCTTGACTTGTTGAAGCCTGTAGGAAGACCTGACCCAGGCTGCAAGGGGTCAGGTCTCAAGCAACCGAAGTGCCTCCGAGGGGTTGGTAGCTTTGAGCTTGTCTCCTATCAGAGACCCCTACGGCTCCCCATTATTCCACAGATGGATACACACAGGTCAGATCAGGTCACTGTTCTGACCCAGTTGCCTCCTGGACAGAGAAAAGAAGCAAGGTCCAGAGAGGGAAGTGGGCAGCATGAACTCAGTGCAGTACTAGCAGCTGTCACACCGGAAGCCAGGGCTGTGACCTTGGGCTCAGCTCCTCACCTCTCCAAACCTCAGCTGCCTCATCTGTAAAATGAGGCAAAGTCCTTCCGCCTCTGACCCAGCACCTAATTCCTTGGAGTCAGCCAAAGACAGACAGACTCCACCCTCCTTGGACTCAGCAACCTCCCTGGCCATAAACAGGAAGGGCAGGAAGGAGCCGGGGAGAGAAGGCCCCGCTGGCAGCTGCAAGGGGTAACGGGAGGAAGCTGCTCTGGTCCCAGCAGACCTGTCCCAGGCGCCACCGCATCCCCCACACTCCCCTGAAAAAAACGGGACCAGGACTGACAAGTCTCTCCCAGCTGGGTGGAATTCCCCCAGGCCACTGAGGTGGCCTTGGGAAAGTAACAATTCTCTCTGAGCCTCAGTTTCCCCCCAAGAAACGAGGAAAATTAAAAGCGGTCCCTGCTAGGAGCCATTAAAGCGACCAGGGAAAGCCTGCGGTCCGCTCCATTCGGCACACGAAAGAGGTGCGGGTGCTGTCGGGCTGGCACCCCCGGGCTGCCCGAGGTCCTCTTCGCCCAGCTCCACCGGGCTAGGACAGCAGCTCCCCTGCGCCCAGATCCGGGGGAACTCCGGCCCGGCGGGGGCGCGCGGGCGGCGACACGGGTGCGGGGACCGCGGGACCCCGGCCAGCCCGGACCCTCCCCCAACCCAGGCTGCTCACCGGGGCCGACTTGGACGCTACTGCAAGCGAGCAGCCCCGGCGGCGGGCAGTCGTGGCCTCTGCCCCCGCGGGGTCGGCCCAAAAGGGGCTCCGACTCCGCCTGAGGCTCCGCCATCGGGTCGCCGGGCGCTACACGCGACCTGCGAGTAGCCAGTTCCACTGCGCAGGCGCGCGGCTGACCCCGGGGGCGGAGCAACCTCACTAGAACTCAAGGGATGTGCTTCACTGCCGGCCAATGAGAACGAAGGGCTCGTGCGCGGGGCGGGGCTCAGCTTCCTTTTCCCCGAGGAGCCGCTTTCAGGACAGAGGTCTCGGGCGGAAATTTCATCATAGAGTGGTCCCTGTCTTGAGTCCTCCCATACCTACTGAATCCGAAACTCTGAGGTCACCTGTTTTGATTTTGACCTTTTTTGTGGGTTGTTTTTTGTTTACTGAGACGAGGTCTCACTGTGTAGTTCAGACTGGCAGTGAACTCACCATGTAGCCCAGGCTGGCCTCAAACTCACAGTAATCCCTTTGTCTCAGCCTCCTGAGTGCTGGCATTACTGTGCCCGGTTTTAACCTGCATTCTGGGTGATTCAGTTGCATGTAAGTGTTGGACACAAGGCTCCAAAATTGAACTTGAGTTTATCTTCTGACAATGAAATTAGAGAAACGAAATACAATTAAAGGGGTAAAGTTTTAAAACACAAGCTGAAAAATATTTACACACATATAAATGTTTTCAACATTAATAAAAACAGCTTGTGATGGTTTTCTATTGCTGCGATGACAAGTTTCCACAAACAGCATAGAACAGCATATAGACTAGCGTTGGGACAATACAGAGATTCGCGTGACTCCTCAAAAGGACAATCGCAAACTCATGAAGCGTCCCAGGCTATGCACCTCGACACCATTATATTAAGCGAGACAAGTCAGACTCACAAGCTTAAATAGCCCATGGTTTCTTTTATATGAGAAACCCAAAATATAAATAAAGAGCAAAATAAAAGATAAGGAAGTAGGGAGATCTTTTCCCAATGGGAAGGGGAATGAGAGATGGAAGGAAGAGGAAAGGTAGGGGTTGAAAAAAGAATTAAGATGTGTTATGTACAAGTACTAACTCCGCACGATGAATATGATCATTATGCACTGCAAACTGTACTAAAAAAATAAATAAATAAAACAGCACTGATAACTCCCATTTGACATGATAGCCCTGAAGGTCGGAAGTCCAGCAGCTGAACTCTTTAGGTGTGGCCACTTTGGGCTCTTATCTGGAGTCAAGAAAATCCGCTTCCAGGCTCACCCAGATGCTAGCAGAATTGGTTTCCGTGGGGCTGGGACTGAGGTGCACATTCACTTGGTGGATGTTGGTCAGCATTGTTCTCAGCGGCCCCCTCCATCATCGAAGGCAGCAAGAACAGATTGAATCCTTTGTCTTCGAGTGAGACGCTTCAAGGTGCAGCCAGGTGCGTTGATTCTCTGGCTTCCCCTTCTATCACATCTCTGCATCTTTTCCTCTTGTTGGGGGTGGGGAGATTAAAACATATGTTTATCATCTTAATCTTTTTTTATATGTATGGTACTGAGAATGAACCTCCACACCAAGCGACACGTTCAGCTGTTTTTTAATTTTCGAGACAGGATCTTGTTAAATTGCCCAAGTTAGGCCCAAACTTGGAATCCTCCTGCCTCAGCCTGCCAGAGTGCTAAGATTTTAAGTGTACCTCTCAGGGATATTGTGAAACTGACACCACCATCTGTCTCCAGAACTCTTTCCTTTTGAAAAACTCAAACTGTACCATTCTCAAAATTGCAAAAAGTTTCACTATGTACTTCATGCTGTCCTTGAACTCACTGTATAGGCTAGGCTGGCCTCGAACTTACTATGATCCTCCCCCTCAGCCTCCCAAGTGCTGGGGTTATAGGCCTGGCTTGGTTTAACGATCTTAATTGGCTTTATTTTCAGTTCTGGAATCAGGCAACACTGCATTCCATGAAACATTCCCAGTACATGTTCCAGTGAACAGAGTAGAAGAGATTGGGTTTACAGAGAGAAAAGAGCTAAAGAAACCAGAAACAAAAAGGAGCTAGGTCATTTCAAAGTTACTTCCTTTATAAGGAGAGGGCAGGAGGAGAGAACAGTAGGAGAAATAACTGGTTAGATAACAACAGGTTACTTTACTTGTGTTTTGAGAGAGAGAGAACTTCATTATTTACCAATTGCAACTGACCGGTTTGGGAGATTTGGCTATTGTCTCTGTAATCCTGATTTCCCCAGAAGATCAGATAAACAGCTTAGTTTCAGGTTGGTGAAGTGAGAGTTAGAGTGATCCATGGGGGTCCAGCACAGGGCCTTAGTCCAAAGCAATGGCCTCCGGTCACTTTTATTGAACACCATTGAGCAGGAATTCCCTAATTTCCCCTCCCCGCAGCCCTGGCAACCCCCATTCTGCTTTCTATCTCTAAGATTTTGATCACGTATTCCAGGCACCTCCCGTAAGTGCCTGCCGTATTTATCCTTTGATGACCTGCTTCTTTCTCTGAATATCATGTCCTCAAGGTTCACCCTTGTTGGAGTGGCAGGATTTCCTTCTCTTTTTTGTAGACTGAATAATATTTTATTTTGCTGGTGCATTCATCTACCACTGAGCAGCTTGTGCCTTCCGCCTATAGTGAGTAACGCTGCGGTGAACATAAATGTGTGCACAACCTTTTGAGACCTTGCTTTCAATTTTGAGGGCTATGGACCCAGGAGCGTGCAACGTTCTCTGGAGAGGCTGCATCTGCAACTGCTCCAGATTGCTTGACCTCGACCTTGGCTGTGAACACCAGAATTGTGTGTGGAGAGATGGAATTTTGTAGGTCAGGAACCAGCTCTATCCTGGGCTATCCTCTGTACTTTAACAGCTGATTACTTTGACTTCTGTATCTGACCTAACATTCTTGTGACTAATATATAAACTTCTTGGAATGTATCACTAAACTTAGCTGACCTCTAGCCTCCCTGAAGCTTAAGGCTAAGAATGCCCTGTGATAACAGCTGAACGCAGTGGAAAGTGTTTCCCCATCTTGAGATTTCCACAGCCTGACGCCCCCACCCATATGATTGGGAAACAGTGATTTATGGCTTTCTTTTGTTCTGTGACTCTAAAGTTCACCTAACCTCTTCCAGGGTGGAGCACATCCTTCAGCATAACTGGTCACTCGTATCTGGCTGATAATAAGTTATTCTCTATTTCCTTTAAAACTGAGTTGATATTTTACATTGACAAGTCGAATTACTGGGTCATATGGAAAGTATATTTTAATTTTGGGGGGAGCCATTATACTGTTTCCCACAGTGGCTATATGTTCCACGTCCCCAACAGCGCACACAAGTCTAAATTTCTCCCCATTGTCACTGACACTTGCCGCTTCCTGCTGGGTTTAGGGCAGCTATTCCAGTGGGTGTGAGGTGGAGCTCACTGAGGCTTTGGTTTGCATTTCCCTGTGATCAGTGAAGTTGCCATTGCCCATTTGTATGTCTTCTTTGGAAAAAATATGTATTCAACTCTTTTGCCCATTTCTAAATCAGGTGTTAGGGGTTTTTTGTATTGTTCTTGTTGAGTTTTACTTCTCTATTCTGAGCAAAAATCCTTTATCAGATATATGATTTGCAAATACTTGCTCCCATTATGTGGGTAACCTTTTTACTCTGTTGTCCTTTGGAGGATTGGCGTTTTTTGCTGTTGTTTTGTTTTGTTTTGTCTTGAGGGTCTCACTACGGAGTTCAAGCTGACCTTGAACTCACTCTGTAGCCCAGGCTGCACTCAAACTCACTGTGTTCCCCCTGCCTGAGCCTCCCACATGCTGGGATTACAGGCATATGCACCATGCCCAGCTCCAGCAGCTCCCATTGTCTTTTTTTTTTTTTTTCCCCGGCAATCGAACTCACAACCTTGCGCTTGCCAGGCAGGCTCTGTGCCGCTGAGCTAAATCCCCAGCCCCTCCCGTTGTCTTTTGATGTGTTTTGTTTTTTGTTTATTTGTTTGTTTGGTTTTTGTTTTTAGTTTTATGGTGCTAGGAATGAAACCCAGGGCTTTGTGCATACAAAGCAAGAACTCTACCAATGAGCCACATCCTCTGCCCTTGATGTGTAAATTTTATAATTGTCATTAAATCCAGCAGGTCTATTTTGCTGCTTGTGCCTTTGGTATCATAGCCAGAAATATTGTTGTCAAATCTGCTGTTAGGAAGCTTTTGCCCCAACATCTTCCAAGATCTCTTTGCTTTTAGGGTTCATGTGACTGTATTGAGCGCACTGGATAATCCAGGACAATCTCCCTATTTTAAGAACAGCTGACTAGTAACTTTCTTTCTGCAAAAATTCTTTGCCATCTAACCTAACCTAACCAGGAGTGCAATGCCAGTGGTTGAAGATCAGTAGGGAAAAATGTAAATTCCCCACAGTGATACAGGAAAATAAAAACTCCCAACCTGAATAATATCTGGGAGAAGTTCGTGTTCTCTAAAATCGAAGAATGAATTTTAGGAACAACAGAGGTTAAGAGCAGAATATATTTATTGAGGGAAAGAAAAGAAAGCTTCTGTCCAAGAGAGGGACAGAAGGGGGGTCTGAGTGGGTCCCCCCGCCACTCTGTCTTTTCTAGGGACTTTTATAGAGCAAAACCACGAGGTGAGGTGGGTCCAAGGTAGGGGAAAAATGGACAAAACTATGGTCAGCCAATAAGAATTGTTCAGGTAAAATTGATTAAATGGGGATCAAATGGGGAAGCGAGTCACATAAGCGGGCATGAATACAGAACAGGGGCTTTTCCTCTAAGGGGTTGGGTCAAGGACCCTTCAAGGTGATCACTACTCATGTAGAATATCAATCCCAGATGTCCATCCCTAGGGAGGTATGTGGGTGTATTTGTTTAGTCCTTTGTCCTAGGTCTGGCCCACAGCAAATACATATCTTTCATGTTGGCTCCTTCCAGGGCCTGGCCCTGTCTGACTGCCTATAATATTTCTGTCTAACTCAGCTGCCTATAATAGGTTGGAAGGAGCAACCAGAGATATCAATAAGGAATTCTGGGAAAAAAAGCTCTACCTCACAGGAATACAGAGAAGCAAATTAAAATCACTGAGGATATCAACCAGCAAATATTTAAAAGCCCTGAAGAGCAGGAAGGAGTATAGTTATCCCAGGGGGG